CGGGTGTAGTGATGCGTGCCTGTAATCCCAGCTAGTTGGGATGCTGAGGCAGGGGAATCGCTTGAACTCAGGAGGCGGAGGTTGCAGGGAGCTGAGATCATGCCACTGTACTCCAGCCTGGTGACAGAGCAAGACTATGTCTCAAAAAAAAAGAAAAAAAAAAAGCAAATAATCCTTTTTAGCTCAATGCCTCAATGTAACTTTATCATACCAAACAGTTTTCCAGGGAAATCAGACAAATAATATTGCTTTAAATTAGTAGATTAGTTTACCACGGTATTTATTTTATTTTATTTTTTGGAGAAACAATTCTATCATTATTTTTGTTAGTGACACAAACATTGAAAATAGTCACACTATAGAGCTAATCAAAATTAATGTGAAGATTTCCTGTTTGTTTTAGGCATTCATTCCTTCATTCCTTAATTGTTAAGTTAACATAATCATTTTTAAATTTGCTCAATTTTTCCCTTAAAACATGGAAAAACAAAAATCTACTAACCTTTCTAGGCATGTTATAGCAAAGACTCTTTTTCTACCCATCTTTATGTTATTAACTGATTCACAAAAGGTAAGTTTCCAGGGGGAGAAATCAAATAAATAAAGACTGTCAAGGTTTGCTGCTTTCAAGTTTACTTATATGGCAGCATATTTTCTATAAGAAATGCTGAGAGATGTAAACACCTAGAGCTCCTTCCTTTCCTGCACTGGCCTACCTCCAGTTAGTGAGAATCAAGACGTGGTCGTGCTCCAGCACGACAACTCTATTCACAAGATTAAGGCAAAGAAAGATACTCTCCCTCCTTTATAAACAAACACCTGATTGGAAAGAAAAGCTTCTGTTGCTTATGTTTTTATCTCCTTCATTTTAAACACTAGCTAAAGCCTTCGCTTGATTTGCTTACTCAGATATGTGTCTTACTATAGTAATGTTATAATAATCATTATTGATTCGTTTCATTATTAAACAATGAAAGTAGGATTAGAAGAGAATTTGTGCCTAAAACTTAAATGAATTTGCTATTTCATTTGTACCTACAATTAAACATTCATAATTTTGCCATTTCATTCTTATTTAATCTAAACAAGATATAAAATATTAAAGAACAAATTGGTTCTGAATATTACAAAGAAATTAAAAGTTTCCAAGAAATAATGAAAAAATGTTAGTTTCTGTATTTTCCCTTTGTAAAACACCTTGTCACAGCAGATTATAGAAAATCTTTTATTTGCATGTATATTATACATTAATATATAAATTATTTCAGATTAATTAGTGAGACGAGAGACTCAGTACTAAAGAATCTTCCCAAACAGTATCTTCATTCACAAAATATGCTTCATCTGAAGAGTTAAAGAAAAAATAACAAAAATGCTTGCTATTATGCCTAGCCATGATTGAATATGAATCATTAGCTGTAATTTATACAATTATTTTGAATCATAAATTTTTGTTTGTTTTAAAATAATAAATCATAAGGAATCCATGGTTTCAAAAAAGTAAAACGCATGCACTCTTTAACTACTAAACATTGTCAAAGGAGTATCATAGGTAGCATGCTATATTGCTATCAACTGGGGATAAGAAAGACCAAACTTTTTAAGTTTTAAGCATGATCACTCAGGTCTTTGCTATTCACAAAAAGTAAATAAAAAGATGAAAATGCTATGCTCAACTGGAAAAATTATTAGTGAGACTGTCTTGAATGTAGTATGTAGTAGGCATATATATTTATTTGAAGAATTTAATATACACTTAGTGAATACCCAATATGTATGCAGGAATATTATATGTGTAATAAAAAATAAAAGAAAATAAATAACTGTTCTCTTTCCTCAAGCATCTTACAATCTTGTGGAGTAAAAATGCATGCTAAAAATTAATTTTGTAACAAGGTAGAAGGTCTTTTGGGGCTGCTTAATCAGTTCCTTGCTATAAAACAATAAATATATTGTTGGCTGCCCAGTAATAATTTATGATAGACTCAAAGCACTTTTCAAGCAACATTATTCTTTATTAAATTTCATAACCTAACACCTATTAGCATATCATCCTACCTTCTTCTTGTGGCATTGTTGATGTAGATCATTGACCTCACAAGACAATAATTCAATTCTCAGTTGTCTTGACTAAAGTTTTGGAGGAAGAGGAGACAGGAAAACAAAACGTTTCTTGTTTTGAAATATACAATGAATCAGGAGTGAGAACAGAAGGAGATTTTGGATTGTCTTTGATTTTACATCCCTCCCTAACACTTACTCATGGTTACTGCTGTCTAGAGTAGATTCTCAAAAACCTTTCTAAATTAACTCATTAGGAGAGTGACTTTTTAAGTTATCATAGCCTGTGACAAATCTGGTACTAGAACCCAGGTTGTGCACAAGGAGTAGGAAGATGTTGGGCTTGGAGTCAGTGCAGAGAGAAAAAGTCTGGTTCTTCAACTCATGAAACTTCTGACTTCGGGCAAGTCTTTGAGCCTCACTTTCCTTGCATATAAAATTGGGAATGTTCAGAGATGTATGAGAATTTCATGCAATAATAGATGTAAAGTGCTTCTGTCTGACACAGAGAAGACACTCATAAAATATTCATCCATTTTTCCTTCTTAAGACCTCAGAAGGATGTGAATTTTGACCTGTGGTGTCATATGTTGTATCTCTGTTGTGACATGGCAGCCTGATCACACATCATGTGTATTACTGTTGCCAGTGAAAAGATAATACATGTTATTAAGAAACAAAACCCCCAGATCCACTCTGTGTATGGGTGTGTAGGGCATGGCTTAAATCAAGAACTCTGTAACTTTATTTGGCCTAGGATAGGAGGAAATAAAAATACAGCAGGAGAGAAGAATCTCTTCTGTTCCCCTTGTTACAGAAATATTAAGCTACAGAAAATCACAGCATAATTGTGAACATGGTGTACATGCAAAAAGAGAGGTGACTAAGAACTAGGGATTTTGGAATTTATGTCACTAATCTCTGTTATCAATAAATATCACCAGCATCCAGTCTAAGCTGCAACTGAAATTTATTTCTTAGTTTTGAACTCAAGAAAAAGTAGAATAGGTTCTCCATCACCACCTCTCACATATTCCAATGTACTTCTTTCCCATATTCTTACTCATTTTGTATTAATTTGTCTTTAACATTGTCACAGCATCTTGCATTTTCCTACCTTTGGCCAATATAATTAATTTTAAAAATGTGTGTGTGTATATATATATATATATTTATATATTTGTATATATGTGTATGTGTGGGTGTATGTATATATATGTATCCTTCACTGTTTTAATTGTATTACTTGTGCTAACTCATTTAATATTCCTAGCAGTCTATCAGTAACCCCATTTTTCTGATGAGAAATTGAAGGTGAAAAAGGTTAAAAATAAACAAGTAACATCATATATTTAGTAAGTAGTGGTCATAATTCAAATTGAGACCATATGGGCTTTCAGACCTTACACTGTGGTAGGCTGATTACTATGCAGAAGCTATTTCATTTTAATTTAACTATCTTAATCAACCCATAGCACTGTTTTTTCATAAATTTCAGTATTCTCGTAAATAGAGTGAAACTTTCTCTCTTTAAAATAAGCCCTCACCAGATCAGAGTAGCCAAAATATCAATTTAAAAACCTATGGTTTTTTAAAGATTGAATTTGTAGATCAGTTGTTTAAATATGAAAGCAAAGCATTACATTGTGGTTAGATAGCAAGAATACTTCACAAAGGTCTGTTTAACACATTATACATGGACTCATTATTAATTAAGGCATTTATGTTCCTGTATCCTGGCAGCAGGGAGGCAAGTTTGGCCAAGAAAAGAATAGACAAGTTTCCTCCTTATTTTGAAAAGAAATAGGGGCTGGGCACGGTGGCTCACACCTGTAATCCCAGCACTTAGGGAGTCCAAGGCGGGTGGATCATGAAGTCAGGAGTTTGAGACCAGCCTGGCCAACATGGTGAAACCCCATCTCTACTAAAAATACAAAAAAAATAGCTGGGTGTGGTGGCACATGCCTGTAATCTCGGCTACTCGGGAGGCTGAGGCAGGAGAATCACTTGGACCAGGGAGTCAGAGGTTGTGGTGAGTGGAGATCGTGCCACTGCACTCCAGCCTGGCAACAGAGTGAGATTCCATCTCAAAATAAAATAAAATAAAATAAATAGGGATGACTCTAGGCAAAATTTTAAAATAGTTAAAATCTGACATTGGCACTTTCCAAATATCCTTAGTGTCTTCCAGCTATTTTAGACTATAATATTTCATTTTCATGGCAATCAAGATTTCTATTCCCTTAAGTCAATTGATCTTTGCTATGTGTTAGGTGGGAAACAATGGAAGTAAGCAAATCATAATATATAAATTATGGTTGCCCCATGATGGTCCCAGAGGTATTTTTGCATTATACAAAGATTTTCCTTACAAAGATAAATAGTAAATTAATAGAATTTGGTCCATAAATGAAGAGAGACAAATTCAAACAGCCCTGGAGGCATGTTTTCTTCTCTAAGAGGCTGACTCAGCTGACCCGATGAACTCAATGGAAAAACAGGTGGACTGGGTGTTCTGTGAAGCCATCCTCATCCAAGCCATCCTCATCCACTTTGTGAACCTGAAATTTTATCTGTACATAGCGGTCCAGACACCTCTGTCGTTTAACCTCTAATTACATTGCAGGGATGGGGATCTGCTCGTGGAGTGGTTTTCCTGTTGTGACTGGTCTTGCTGTGTCCAGCCTAAGTATTCATCTCTATGAGACGAAGGAGCTTGGTGGAGCTTGGTAGTGATTCTTTCCCTGCTAACCCAGCACTCTGCAGGGTGCTAGTGTGTGTGCATGTGTGTGTATCCTTTTTGGGGGCATTTTGGAGCATGCCAAGTTACTCTGGCCTTAAGTCAGCTCTCCTATTCATTTCAAGACGTTTTGTATCTGATTTTATATATATATATATATATATACACACACACACACACACATTTTTTTTTTTCTTTCTTCATATCAAGCCATACCTTTTCTAATTGCACTAGTGTGGATACCGGCAACTCATGTCACCTGTTGCAAGGGAGTCAGTATTGGAGACGGGAACACTTTTTTGTCCATAAAGTTAATTTGCAAATCTGGTGTTTATATGTCTGTCATTTTGTTAATAAATGGAATGCTTCTATTATTTTTCTTTCCAGATGAACTAGATGTTTTGGGATCTCGTTGGTACTACTTGATTTTGCCATTTTGGAGGATATTACAGAGGTATTCTCATCAAAGTAATTAGCTTGTTAGATAAGCTCTGCAGGTGGCAGGTAATGTGATACATTAATTAAATTGTAGCCCCAAAGGCTTATGGGAATCAGAATTGCAAACGCAGTCTGAGTTCCCAAGTCCCATGAACCTACCATGTACCTCGCCTACAGTGAGAGTGAACACTGCAATAATAGGTCATCATCATAAGGGCATGAGCCGATTCTCCTGGAGAAAATGCTCATGTAAAGACAGTGCTTAGAGAAGCACATTTGGATATGCTGAAATTTTTCCACAACCCCCAGACATGCCAATCAAAGATAATGCAATGCAAGTATCTCTGAGTGACACTTTAGGCTGCATTCATAAGCAACTTGCCCCATTCAAAGTCAATGAAGAGACAAGACTTACAAGCCCATGCTGAAAAGTTATTGAAATGTGACTGACATCTCAAAGAAATGGTATCAAAGGGTTTGCATGACCTGGTGCTGAAACACAGCAGGGTTAATCAACGTTATGGCAGTTGGGTACCACAAAGACCTTCTTTAAGTCTTATTTAATTTAATTCATATCACTCAGTGGGGTTATTATCACCCTTCTGCTCTCTCCCTCTGTCATTTCACCCACCATTTGTACTATTTATTGTAAACTTTTGCTTTGGTTAAAGTGTGGAAGGTAGGAAGTAGAGCCTCTGTTACCACTGAGGCTTCTGGATAAACGATGGTGTTACATCTATTTCCATTGATTGAATTCCTCTAGAAGATGTTGAGCTTCCACTGTTGTGTTTCAAGATGGGGTGCCTCCTGGGAGAGGATGGAGCACCAAGTCTATAATCCTATTCAGATAATTTTCAGTGGTACATGAGTTTAATGATTTACTAAAACCCATCTACTCTCAAAAATGGTCAGAAAGGGGATAGCAGAAGTATCCCCTTTGAGCTGGGTCTATTTAATTATTTTGTCACTCCCCAAAGGCAGACATATTCTCCTGCCTGGTGATAACCACCTGCCTACTGGAAACTGTTTTTTAATTTTTTTTTTTTAACTTAACACCACCTTGGGACAGAAGTCAATCCTCTGAGAACAATTTGTTGTAATATTACTATTTATCAGCATTATTGTTATATTTATGTTTTATGCTGAATATGTCTGTGAGTTTTCTTCCATATCATTGTAAAGTACAGAAGGTATATCATCTGACAGAATAGCTAATGACCTTGCCTAATAAAAGAAGGAGAGAGAAAGAAGGGAAAAACAAAACAAAACAATACCAACTCTTTGTGATGAACAGAATCTGGCAATTGCTATAATTATATTCATGGTAGTTATGCCTATGGTTTAAAAAGTGTAAGCAATTATGAGTTATGTTTATACATGTTAGTAATAATGCATGATGGACATACGCATAAAATGTGTGTGTGTGTGTGTGTTTCAAACTAATAATCTGGCTTTATTTCAACTCCATATTTTGAGTCCAGGATTGTTGGGCCTTTTTGTACCATGTGAATTTATTAGTCTATAAGAATGAGTCACTGGTTAAAATAATATAACCATGAACCCTAGCAAGCTTGGCTGCTAAGGGCACAATCATATACTCTTCTCTAGAAACATATATGTATATATGTATATGTATGTATTTTAGCTAGAGGTAATCATATATTCTACATAGAGAGATTTTATATGTGTATAGTCTCTCTATAGCTAAAGGAGCCAGCAACGAAATTTGTTTTTCTATCTTTCCAGACACTACAAGACACTACTACAAAAATAAGTGAATAACTACCAGGTCTGATAATATCAAATAAATTATCTATTCTGGATTCAATTCACAATTCCTATTAAAGCCTTTTGCAATAAAAGCAGAGAAAAAAATTAAAGTGAAAAATGAGAGTTAAAAAGACCATATTCCTTATTATTAATTATTTTAAAATTTTTTAAAAGCATGAGAGTTAGAGTTGGGAAAGATCACCTTGGAAAGAGAGTATATCAAACATGATAGCAATAGACTTTTCTTTTAGGAAGAATAATGGTTTAATGTTTAATTAATCTTATCCATTTCTGCATTTATGGGAAGGCAGAGAAGAGTCTGCTTTATAATGTAGAAAATTAAATATTAAAACCTTGGTGCCTACCAGACTTACATTTTCGTATTATGAATGAGCATTTTCACTTTCTGCACACACAAAGAAACAGGAGACAGATGCAGTCACTTAGCTCTTCAGTAAAGGGATTATTTCAAAGTATTTCTGATACCATCTTGCTACTAGAAACAAAACACATTGAAGATGAATATTTAAAATCAAAACAAAAATCCAAAACTTTAAGATGTCTTTCATATATAACATACATCCTTAATTGTAAAGGGTGTAAATAAAATCGTTCTTCAGTGGGTTTTTTTTTTTTTAACATATGAATTATCCAAACTTAATAGATCTAAAATTAAAAAAAGGTATTGTTAGTACAAACTGCATCATTTTGTAAGCTCCTCACTGTTTTGCAGACCTTGGTCAAAGTGAAACATTGCACGGGGGTTCGGACCATGAGAAACATCCTGCCTAACCACCTGACTACAAGGCAGACAAAGGCCCAAATAGAGAAGCATCCCTATTACATCTTGCTGGACAAAGGTCCAAGGAACACCATGATGACATCCCACCGGAACAAGAGCCAGAACTGCCTCATCATGGGAACACCTTATCAATATCCTGCCAGGCAGTAAACCTTATTGCCCAGACCCCTCCCACCCATACCTATAAGTATCCCCAGCTTGTATGCACTGGTGGGCCCTGGCATTAGGCTGGTCCCCCACTTCCGTAGGTTTTATGCTGGACATAAAGCTTGCATTTGCTGTTAAGCCCCCCTCTTTCTGTGTGTGTGTCTTTCTTTAACCCTCACCTTCCCTTCAAAACCTAACAGGTATACTGCTTAAAGAATATTACAATAGTTTTTACATACTTTAATGCCCATTTCAGTGAGAAAACTGAAGATATGAATTAGAAGAAAAATGTGATGTCAGATTAAAATACACAAATGACAAATGAGAACAGAGAAAAGAAAGATCAGATATTTACACGTTTAACTCAAATTGGTGCATATTTACTTTACTTATAGTTTGGGCCAGATTATATATTTTCTAAGTAAATAGAACATTTAGACTCCTATTTTAAACTATAATTGGACCTTTAGTCTCCAATGAGTTATTATTTATTATAATGTGAGGATTGTAGAAGAGGTGAAAGAAATGGCTATATTAGAGAGTCCCATCTCCTTTGAAATGGATGTGAATCAATGTCATCTCCACTGATCTAGGAAGATATTTTACCTCTCTGTGACTGTTTTCTTGCTCCAGAAAAAGAACAGAATTGATGTAAAAGGAAAATAAGGCACTGTTAACCAACATCTTTCCTAAACTTAAAAGATTAACATGTTATTTAATATAAGAAATTCTTCTAAGTTTTAATACATGCATTTCTGAACTTTTGACATCTTGATTTCTAACCTTACAATTTGTTGCTTCTAAAATTAAACCAGGTTTAAAAATAGCACAATCAGCATGGTGACATGCTATTTTTCAATATGCATTAATAACAATTATGGGGGAGTGTAGCAAAAAAAAAAAAAAGAAAAATTCAGAGAATGTTTAGGAAAGAAATAACATATCAAAGAAACTAAGTACATGTCTTTATCTTTTTATCTTATTTTCACACAATTTTTAGTTTCCACTTCAACAGTTACCTTCAATTACAATTGGCAGCACATCATGGACTTTAGGCTGCTACCTGAAACAAGTGCCGTTGAGACAGAGATGATGGATTTATGTATACGATTTAAGATCTAACAGATGTTGTCATGCCCTGCATATCCCATCCTTGTCCTGATCATAGAAGACCATTTTTCAATAAGAACTCAATGCCTGCCTATCCATCCATCAGCACATTTGGCTGTGTGAACCTTCGCCAAGCCAGTCAAATGACTAAGTAGAATTTCTGCTGTTGTTATCAGGAAGCAAATGGTTTCCATTCACGAGAATTAAAAACTCAAGTGTCTAGTCCTGTTTAATTATCTAGCAAGTTGACTTTGATACGACTGAAGTTTCTAGTGGTAAGTTTTAGGAAACTATGTGGAGTCAGAGAGTTAGTTGATTTTCTTGTCTATAAAAACAAGAAAAGAATGACTACTACTTCAGTTTCAATTTTCATTTCTTCCCGATTAGCAACTAGTCTTCCCATTTAACTACATTACCATACCTTCCCGCCTCCAAGAACGTACCTGTTCTTGGGTCACCAGAAATATACCCCTCAACCCACCTGCATCTTCCCCCATGCCTGTTCATCTTCCAGTCCACAATTAAAAGCCTGTATCTTGCAAGAAGTTGCTCATGGTTTCTCCAGCTAGAAATTTCTTAGGTGAGTTCACTATAAAGTTTACTCTCTAGTATATTTGCCAACCGAAAGTGCAATTCAAAGATCTTCCATTTTCACCATGTTTAAATCAATACATTAAGAATTAGAAGGCATGTGTGTCAAATAGGTGAAAACATATAGTTCATAGCAATAATGGCAGATGACACCAAAAATTCAAAATAATTCTAAGAGACTGTAAGAATGGGTCAAAATCAACAAGATGGAAATTAATAGTAATTTATGACAAGTACAGAACATAGTATTTAAAAAAAGAACTTTATATGACTACAGATATGATTGACAAAGTATATGTCAAAAATATTGGGGTTCTTAATGTATAGGCGGTCAATAAAATTTAAGAATTCAATACAAAGTGTTATGTCATACAGAATAAATATGCTTCCCTTCCTTACTTCTAGCTAAAACTCTTGCATTCCTCCAGGCCCTGCTCATATCCAATTATATCCAGAAAGCCTATCCTGACTACTCTGTATGTTTTCTGAATTCCTGAAATACTCACTTTATGTACCAGAGCTTTAAATGGCATCTTTTTGTACAGTATTACACTGATGCTCCTCAAAAGATAAATTCAAAAAGATTGGGCACCCAAATCATGAGAAGCAAGACTTTAAACAGCACTTTGGCACTCCTAGACTGTCTATGGGCCTTCCTGTGCTCATACAATCTATGTATCGGTTTTTGAAGAAGAAAGGCAAAATTTCAAAACATAAAATATAAAATAAATTTGACATGTGACTTCTGGAGATATCTATGACAAACAAGGGCATCATAAGCCACTTCATAATTTTGATGGGCCCTAAACTGGAGAGAAATTGTTCTATCCACTTTTGTTTAACAGGATAGAAATAGGAACAACTGATAAAAATAACAGAGAAGATTTTAGCTTTATTTATAACTGAGGCCCCATAATAAAACATGCTTCCTTTAAAAATTATGAATTTCATATGTCTGGGCCGGGCGCGGTGGCTCAAGCCTGTAATCCCAGCACTTTGGGAGGCCGAGATGGGCGGATCACGAGGTCAGGAGATCGAGAGACGATCCCGGCTAACACGGTGAAACCCCGTCTCTACTAAAAAATACAAAAAAATAGCCGGGCGAGGTGGCGGGCGCCTGTAGTCCCAGATACTCGGGAGGCTGAGGCAGGAGAATGGCGTAAACCCGGGAGGCGGAGCTTGCAGTGAGCTGAGATCCGGCCACTGCACTCCAGCCTGGGTGACAGAGCAAGACTCCGTCTCAAAAAAAAAAAAAAAAAAAAAAAGAATTTCATATGTCTGGATGCATCTGCATAGAGGCTGAATGAGACAGAAAGGAATTCTGAATTGGAATTCTTTCTTTGCTTACAAAGTTGGATTACATAACATAGGACGCTTTACCGTCTGTAATTCTATAATTTCAAATCTAAATTCTATGTCATAACATTTGAGAAAAAGACAACCTCTTTTCATTAGTTTAGTGCACTATAGAACCCTGGTCTATATCAAAGGGAGATAAAAGATTTGCCTAAGAGGAGAATTGGAACAAATCCAGGATCCCTGGCAGGCAGTTTGTGTTTTATCTAAGTGACTGCATTGCCTTTTCTTGTGTTGCTCATCTAGAAATGAAAGGTTATAAAAAAAGACTCAGAAAATATCTTAATAGTTAAGGTTTGACTTTTCATGCAATAAATTAATCAAAAGCAATGTTAGAATGAGCTACTGTTTCATGCACTAATTTAGATTAGATTCACATAAGAAATCCACAGTGAGTCTGGAAATCAGAAAACTTCTACCTAAAGATACCTACAGATGTTCATAGTCAAATTTCATTAACAACATAGAACTGAAAATTTATTAAAACAGGTCTTGATGACTCTCATTCTTAATTCCACTCAAAATCAATAGCATTTTGATGATTTTAAAATTCTGTATATCCAATAATTGATATTGAACAACTTAACTTCTTATAAAGTGACTTTTTAAAGTAAAATCCTCTAAGATTGCCTCCAGGTGTCTTTGATATCACTATGCAAGTCAGCATTGACAAAATATCCAATTAAATAAAAAAAAAACCTAAAGCTCTAATGGTTGTATCCTGTTCTTTTCCCATGTTCAATATAGTAAAGATCAGGACTCAGGACAATTTAAAATTCAAAACACTCCCTGAGGTTTTTAGATATAGGTCGTTTCATTTAGGTAAAAACACAAACTTCTAATAAGTGATATAAATCACCCTTTATCACAGAATTAGCTGTTTTAATAATCCAGAATAAGCTGTTATTTTTGGCACTCTAATTCACCATGGATCCTGTATATGGTCACCCCAAAGGGACCTAGAATGACTAGCCCTGCCGTTCACCCAGCATTGAGAAGACCCTAGAGAATCAGAGTCAATGACATTTTGGACCCACAGCCAGTTCTCCCCTGATGCCTTTTTCTCTATCCATATGCATTCTTCTTCATTTAAAAGCTTGTTTTTCTTCCTTTCTGTCTTTATTTTTAAATATAAAAGCACATTTGTTTTCAGGAATATAAGGCTGAGTTGTGGCGTGGCTTTCTGCTGCAGTACATTTGAAAATACTGCCAAACAGCAGCAAACACACACTCAGAAACATGCTTGAGAGCAAACAAGCCATCTATAAACACACTCCAGAAGCTTTTAAAACAATGTAAAAGTGGCATCTGGCATGAGTAAGACAGCAGTTTAAACTCCTTGACTCACCATCCAAATTTATGTTGAAAACTCTCTCAAACAACTGGTTATTTAAAAATATTTAAAAAGTCACGCTGTGTTGGTTGATTTTTGTACCACAGAAACTGTGAAGAAGCTGTATGTAGTTAAAGGGTAGCAATGACAAGTGAAA